GTATAAAATGTACGTTGTCAGCTTGAGGGGATGCTTTTCCTTTCAGCTTCTTTGTAATTACCAAAAATAGTTTTACCCTGTTAAAACATTTCTGAGTTGTCGACATGGTGTGGTATGGTATTAAAACCTCGTTACTCTGCAGCAAACCTTCCTGTGCATTGTGTTTACCTTCTGATAACATTTCTAATAAGAAGCCAAACACCAGCAGAATGAAGGGGATACTTACACTGTTGGGTCCAATGTGACTTTGCATAATGAAAATATGCAAAAATAATGACACTTGTGTAGCTAAGAGAGAAAGAAATATAATCAAATTGTTTCTACTGGCTTTTCATCAAGGCAGAAAACCTGTGTGTGTGTTTTCTGGACAAGCTTTATTTATACTATGATCTGGAACCTGACAGCAGGAATTCCTGTGCCTGTGCAAAGTTATTTTGCTTTCAGCATGACTCCACCAAGAGACCCCAGCATACAGGACTACCCCCTTTTGACGGCAGTGCACTGGAGTCCTTGGCAAAGCTTAGATTTGAGATACTCTGAACTAGCGTTATGGATAGAACAAGATCTTAAGAGCTAAACTCAATTACTCTTAACAAAGCCTGAGGCTGGAACTTTCCACTCAAAGTATGTTTCCTAAATGTTGATAGCAGATGGCCCTCCCATCCCATAGGCCGGGGATGTGCTGACTTTTTCATTCGCAGTGTAACTTGTTCTCACATCACAGAACTTCTAATTTTTGATTTTTTAATAAGCGTGATCTGATAAACTAAGCTAAATACACTTTTAAAATAAATTTCAAGTGTAAAGATCATTACTAATTCTGTTGTTCAGATTCACAGAGAAGGTTAATATAATTTCCTTTCTCCTTTGGCACCTAAGCAAAATCTGACAGCTTTAATTCTGGTATTAGAGTAGAGGGAGGAGTCTAACCATAACCAGAGGTGACCAGTAGAAGCCCTACCTGAATGTGTCTTGCAATCTATGATGAATTGATGTTCCAGCAACATTTTGTTTTTCTATACTCTACCCCTACCCATTGCCTTTATTCTGCTTTTTCCCAGCTTTACCTCAGCCTTCTCTGTGAAGCCAAAGACACCTGATGTTTGTAGTCACGTTTTTGAGATTATCTGCTCAGGAACATCTGCTCAGAGAAGTCTGTTTTCAATGTTTTGCACATCTGAAACAACTGGGGAGTGGATGTGTTGTTGCCTGGACAAGTGAGTGAAGAGAATTGGTTTAGACTAGTTCTGCAGAAGGGAGCTGTTGATGAATGGACTCACATTGAAGTCTGAGCATGATTAGTGCGAGGCTTCATCCCTCTGAGTCAATGGTCGTTGGGACAAGGCAAAGAGCAGACAGGAGCTGAGGAGACGCTGCTGTTTTGGAGTCTGTGTTTCAGGTCACAGTCTGGTCAAGTCAACAGAAGTCACCCAATGTGACTGGTGCCAAAGCAGGCTTGATGGTTGTGCATGAATATTTATTCTTTGTCTGTTTATTATAAACTTCATTTTGCATTCTGACAGACTTTTCATTACACACCTTTTTTGAAAACCTACTAGACAAACCCCCCAAGTGTGCTTTGTTTTGTAGTACAACAGGCAATGAGCTAAAATATAGGTCTGAGGAAACTTTTGTGTCACCCTCTTCTTGGAGCTTTTTTCCAGATCATCCATGTTGTACTGGACACAATCCTTTCCAGCTAAGTTATGATGACCCCAGACATTGTCCTGGGTCATGCTTTGGGGCTTCTGTCTGGGGCGTGGTGCTACTACAGCAGCACTTGCATTGCTTCCACTGACCATTGGTTGGAGGTTATGGATGGTGCTTGACCCCTGACCTTGTTCTAGACCCTGGTGCTAACTGGGGGTTAGCACCTGGCTAATTGCCAGGCTGCCTTTCCCCCCTCCCTTCAGATTATAGATGGTTCTTTGGCATGCATCCAAACCTAATGCAGTATGTACGGGAAGGTCTTCAGGTTCCCAAAGTGTAAATACATATGTGGTCAAAGCCCCAGTTCATTAATTTAGTATGTGCAGTGGAGACCAGGAACTGATTTATGTTTTCATCTACGCAAGGTAAATTGGATTGAAAATTCACACTGTTTAAAAAGGAGAGCTGAGATTCTTGCTTACCTTTGAGTTCTAAATTAGCAAGCACATGACTAAGCTTCATGGACATGAAAAAGCTGGTTCTGAGTTAATATGATGCCTATACCATTGATTTCACTGGACCCTTTTGTATCAAAAACCACATGTACACAGCCTCACATTGTGAAGCAAGATTAATTTAGCTGTTGGCAAATTATGTGCTGTATAAGAATGTTCTGTGAATGACTTGGATTGCAAATTCTACTTCTCAATTTTTGCAATGCAAAGTGCCGGTAACATGAACTACTGGTTTCAGCTGAACTTTACAGAAACGTGAATGATAGGCACCCAAAATAAGGAAATAAATGGTGGAGAACTAAACAACATAAGGCCTACTGAGTCAAATATTAAGAGCCTCAATATAAATGATAACACAGAAGATAGATATAAAAGTAATGGCAAAGGCTTTAGAGCTTCAGTGTCTCTAAAAATACAGAAGGGGTGGCCTCTCAACAAAATGTTGATTTGTGATTCTCAGCTATAATTACAGGGAACAACCCAGGGTGCACTACAGAGAATATTTCCATGTTTCAGTTTCACATTATTTTAATGTTTCTAAAATCTCTACACTTTCACAACCAAAATTCTTGGTCTCTGTCTTTGAGTTGTTACAACAATAGCTGAAGTGAAACAAACTTCCTACGATCTACCTATCTTGGAGAACAGAACCACTCTGGATAGTAGAGGTAAATTAAGGGTATACTCAGTTTTTGGTGTGCTTCCTAACTGTACCAATTCACTTGATGCAAGTGTTCCTTACTCGCATCAGTGGGATGCAGAGAGATGAACTTTTCTTGCTGATTTGCTGACGATAACTTTTTCCTTGAGTTTTATTCAACTTAAGAAATTTCCATCCTTCCACACATCTGTATTGGTTCCAGTCTTACATGTTCATGTGTTCTCCTAGACCAAATAAATATCCTCCCCACTGCCTTTAGACACCATTTACTAGCTGAAAACCACACCACAGCTTGCTGCTTGCCCCTGGTCCCTCCCCATATCTCTGCCATCAGAAGAGGCCAAGCAAGCATTCCCTAATGCACTACAAGTAAAGCCAGCCTGGTTAGCTCATATCCATGTTCATCACCAGGTGAAATGAATCTGGCTGGCTTAATTTAAACAGATTAGGAGGTGATTTGTGATCTCTTTTGCTAATGGAGCAGTATGTTGGGTATTTGGAAGGCAGCAATAAACACTAGAGACAGTGCTGTCATCTCTTAGAGGAGCTTCTCTGTAGTCTCAGGTCTTCTCAGCACTCCCATCCTTGAACTCAGTCTTGCACCCCTCAACTTGCGTGGGTTTTCTACATATGTTACCTTTATTTTTACCTTAGCAGCCACAACTAAAGGTATATTTTGACATTTTAAATGAATCTTCTTTGTTCAGCTTTCTCTGCCTGTCTTTATTAATTAAACTTGTGTCTTGCTATTAGGTTCCATCAGCTCATCTCTTCCAGTTTCAGCTCTCTCCATTTGCCTTCACTATACCTTGCCATCCTTGAACTGCGCTGAACTCTTCCTCATTTCCCACCTTCCCATACAATATTCAAATCTGCTGTTCTTCTGTCTGATTTTACTGTAGCTGATGTGAAAATCTTCTTTGCTAGAGAAGCAGCAGTGAGGAGACAGAGCTTTTTTTTCTCTTTGCCTCATTCATTCTCCTTCTTACATAAAATCCCAGCTGAAAAAGGGCATTCTCCTCTATGATCGTAACTTCACATTCCTCTTTTTCCTGCTGTTCTTCTCTTTAAAATACATTTTAATATGTCCTCATCCATGGAAACTGTACTGTTTATGTTTGCAATTTTTCAATGTGCTTGGAGTTGGGTTTTTTCAGATGAACGGTATATTAAGATTTAATCTGAACCTAGTCAGATAATATTGACCTGCAATGAAAAAGCTGTATGAATGAGATAGCAGCAGACAGCTTAAAGTGCTGACTGCCAAGTGCTGACTGAAAAATGATACCCCAGAAGTTTGGTGGTACAGAGTAGATGGGACATTTATGAATGAAAAAGCTTTCTGATTGTTTAAATATTGTGATTTGAATTTTTAAAAATTTTCTCGATTTTTTTTTTCTGATGTTTGCCGAAATTTGCCTCCCTCTGTAGGCTACCACATCTGATACCCACTCTAAGGCCTCTCTCTTTTGCCACAGTAGATCTCCCCAAAATGAAAATAAAAGAGAACTGAATTTCAGACTTTGAATTCCTGATGCTCTTCTCTATGCCCATTTCAGCTATATTTCCCACTGTTCAGTTAGCAGTTATCAGGAAACGTATTTTGGTTTCAAAATCAGGATCTCCTGAAACAAATCCCTAGGTATTACAGTATTGCCACAGTTTGCAAGCCACATTGTGTTAGGACCACAAACAATGAGTTGGCCCTTGCCCAAAGCAGTTTTTAATCCAGGTCATGTATATGGAGATAGGCAAGGGAAGCTGTTTCCGCATATATCTGAGTTCCCTAGGTTAAATGTGGTGAATTATTTCAGCAAATATATTCCAAACCTTCTCCTTCAGTTTTTCACAAATTCCAAATCTGGATGCTGCTCTAAATGAAAAGGAACAATTAAAATGCCTTTTTGAATGCATTTGAAATTAAATAAGTTACTGTAATTTCCCTGGGCAAGCCAGCTCTTTTGAGGGGGCAAAAGTTGCAAATGGAAAAACAAACAAACAAATGAGTGAATAACTATGGGATGTGCTGCCGGAGAATCAAAAACAAGCCTGGTAGAAGGGGGAGGGAAAGGCTCTTGTCTGCCCTGGGACAATTTGTAGAAACCAAAGTGTGGTAGAAAGTTGAAATAAAGAGGATGGGAAAAAAAAATCCACACTCTTTTTTCTTAATCCAGACAATCAGGCTACCAGGACCCATGATGCTGATATGAAAGAGGACTGACTTCAAGGATGTTGAGAAAGAAGATAGAAATTTCCATCTTCATTGTTCAGGTTCCTTCAGCTACACAACTAGGAGGTGAGTCCCTTGGCCGCAGCAAGGGAAGGGCGAGAATGAATGATGGTGCCAGATGCACCAAGTTAACAGTCAGTGAGCCAAGAAAAGCATGACTACAGCTATCTTTCCTGCCTTCCAAATCCTGGACCAGTGAGCAATCAAAATATGGTTTAGGTCACTCCACAGGTATAGAATATGCTTCACCTCCCATGAACTGGGGATGGGAAGCTAAGGGAAGAGTGCTGTAGAGCTGCTGATTGTCTGCTCTCCTAAGACCTCCTCTTAAGAGGAATCCTCAGTTGTCCATTTAGGGTAGTATCAGAGCTGCACAGAGCTCCTAAAGCATGAGCCACCAGTTACAGCATTATCCAATGCCTGGTAGAGGTGGGTACCAAGACTGCTAGTAATGGCTAAAGGCAAAGCAGGGGGTCTGGTTTTGATAAAAACGTAGTTTGTGAGAAGCATTTTTCTTATTATAATGGTAAAATGGATAGGAAACAGTTACACTCCACATCCTTTTTTTTTTTTTCAGTGCTATTTTTTTTTTTTGGAACATTGAAAACAAAACAAGCAAAAGGAGGGGAGGGGAAAAAAAAGGAAAAAGAAAACTCCCTTCAGACAACAATCACCTTTTGAGTTAAATTCTCATGCTTGGTCTTAGCCCAGAGGGATTTGTCTTGAGTGAAGTTCGAAGAAAATCCTTTCAGCAGTTTCTGAGTTACTTAAATGTAACCATGGAGGTTTGGATTCAGATGCTTTTTTTGCTTGTATAACTCAAAAATAGCTTCGCTTTAAAACTTCTAAATTAACCCTCCTTAACTTTTCAACTTGTCACCTATCCTACTGTATGGCTTATAAAATTTTAAAGCTAATAGTATAACAAACTCAAATAATGATACTGCAGATGTTCAAATGAATCTTGGGAGGAATAAATTATAGGAGTCACAGTGGGTTGTTAGTGAAGAAAGAGCGGCTGCATGCCTTAAACCATGTGTTCTTACTGGTTTGAAACAGGCCCAATTTTTTCTGCTAAGCACCAGTGTGCTTGGGTGTGGATTTTAATACTCAGTTACACATACAAAATTAAGCACATAAGTCCTGTTCCTTTTCTTCTCCCTGATAGCACTGCTTTAGACATGTCAGAACATTCTCTTAAATTTTCCTGCTTTCTTCTTAACACAATCCTGATCACTAGGACACTTAACTGTCTCCTAAATATTTATGGGCTTCAAAGTCACTGAAATGCTCTGTGATTCTCTTACTGTTATTATTTTATTGCCAGAAGATTGAGGCAATGAGAGGTGAAGCATCTTGGTAAGTTATGGTTTTTCCTTTTTCTTTGTCCAACCCTCCTGTTGCTTTCTGACATTTTCTTCCTCTTTATCTTCTTTCCAACATTTCTGCCTCACTTACTAGTCCTGTTCTCACTGTCTCCTATCTATCCTTTCAAACATTTTTCTCCAGTTATTCCTCTCTAACAATTGCACTGAAGAGAGCCTGCGATAGAGAGAAATTATTTTTACTTTGGCAGCAGCTTTTTACTTTTATCTTTTCCCTAAATGTCTGGGATGGGTCCAGGCAGCTCTCCCCACTTTCATCATCTCTCTTCACATCCCTCGTGACCCTGAACTCTAGTCAGCAATCTGATGTCTGCCATGAGAGTGCCTCCCATGATCCAAAGCCACAATCAGACTAAGGTGTTGTAACACCATGTGTTGCTTTACCTACTTACCATGCTTGCTCTGCCGCTTTCTAGGAATTGGTCACCTGTGTCAGGTTTTTCTCACGAAATAATGGCAGTGCTGTCACCTTCTGCACGTCTCTCCTCCTTGCTCCTCTGCCTCTCTTCCTCTCCTAAGCTTTTGCGGTTCAATCTCCTGGCTGGTGCAATTTAGCCAAGATACAGGAGACTTGTATTCAGCCTCTGCCTGAGGCAATTTGAACTTGAATCTCTTGCACCCTGAATTAGCACCTTACCCAAGACATTATCTACTCTTCTGTAAGGAAGGTGGCCTGAGTCCTTTCTTCAAGTGGGAAAGCTTGAGCTTGACTTGTCAGCCTCGTAGTGGAGGCACTCACCTGGAAAAGGGAAACCTTATCTGCCAGGGCCTGCCCCAGTCAATACTTAATACAAAGTATGGAAGTGTTCTCTGAAAGAGGGTAACAAACCCCGGACTTCTTGCTTTCAGCAATGCTTTGAGAGCAAGCACACAGGGCAATCCTGTTAGTATTTAATTATTCCATACAAAGAGGGGCCCCCTGGTGGTCTAGTGGTTAGGATGCGGCACTCTCACCACTGCGCCCAGGGTTCGATTCCCGATCAGGGAACTCCCCCGGGCAGATGGAGCTCATCAGCCCTGTAAGGCCATCCATCTAAGAGAAGGTCACTCTAAACAAACCTACGTCCTGAGGACCTCACTGACACCGTCCGAGCTCGCTCGGCCCCGGCAGATGAACCTCAGGATTAAAGGGTGGGCTCAGTTCAGCGCACACTGTGTCTCACCTAAAAAATCCACTGCGCAGGCTCGAAGGGTAATGACCTTTCCCAAAATCTTCGTTTGCAAAGACTGGCCATGATTCCATACAAACTGGAACAACTTCAACAGGATGGACTGGAGAGAGACCCTGCTTGACAAGATCCTTTTAGAACTGTGCTGGTCTCTCTTTACTGCTGTGGGTCAGCTTGCTCAATACCCCAGAGCAGCAATGGCAGCTGCCTCAGCACCACTGGCTTGATATGGGACTAGGTAGTGAGGACATGTGTGGAAACTGGGTGGGAGGGAAGGGATGGAAAAGGTGTTCCTGAAGTGTATTCTGTTATCCATGGCAATGGGCTTGTAGTCATAGCTGAAACAAGCACCTGCCACTGCTGCCTCAGTTATCATTCTGGAAAGCAGTGGAAGCAAATATGTGGTGGAGGGAAAAGAAGTCTTAAAAGACAGGGCAGCAGGCTGGGGCACTATAACGGAAATTGCTTTTCAAGGTGGAAATGCAACAAAAATAGACTAAGAAATCTTAAAAGACAAAGTCAATGCCAAAGCAGAGGAAGCCAGAATGACTTCCAGAGCTCAGCTATAGGCAGTTGTCCCCCAACATAAGCCAGACACTGTCAGTGTGTGGGAGACATCCAGGAATTTTTTCTCCTACAAAAATGTTAGGGACGTTATATGTTTTACTGTAATGGAAAACTTGAGCTCTAGTGCTCAGTTCCAAAGGAGAACACTAACCATTGGAAGCAATGTGGTACAGGGGGCTGTGTGTGTATGTGTCTGCTCATCTTTCTCCTAGGGATTCTGTAGCTTCCTTCATTCTTCCCTGCTCTCATATTACAGAAAGAAGGTAATTTTTCCTGGCCATTTACTAAAGCTCATTAAAGACCGAAGAGAACAAACAATGCTATTCCTTAGAGACTACCATTCAAAGTCATCCTACAATTCTCTGTTCTAATACTTGAGACAAATTAATTATTCCTTAGTGAAAAGTGTATAATTCCTATTCTTCATTTTTGGGGTGGGGAGTGGGGAATAATAATAGGAAGTTTATATCTGAGTCAAAAGCTGTCTGTGCTGAAGGGAAATGAGAAAAACTGTGTGTTCCAAGAAGAGTAAAAGCAATTATTCTAATAATAATTCTAGGGATATTAATGTCTTTTTAAAGTAGATTGCTTTCAAATAAACACCAAAGTTGAAGGCATAGGAAAGGCTGGTTTATTTATTAATCATTCGAAAAGTGCATTTTTCTAAATGAACAAGTGTATGAGCAACTTCACTGGCACATATTAAATTTAGTTAAACGGCAACTTGTAAATGTCTAAAAACTTCTGTAACCAGAGACTAATTTGTTTAATGTGTTGAAAATGTTATGTGGATGTGAGGAGCTACATATTAAACTTCAAAGCAAAAGGCTCCAGAGATTACACCATCTTAAAGACTGCATATTGGAAAGGCCTTTATACATTAAACAGAAAGGATTTTTAATTCTCTTCTTTTTTGAATACTTGTCAATCTGTGTGACTCACGCTTAGGATTGTAAACTGTCATTTAAGGTGTGATGTCCAAGTTGAGGCCTGGACCACGATTTGCAAGGGGCTGGCTTTTCTCTTTCATCTCTATTAATTAATCCTGTCTCACTTTGCCCAGCGTACACTTCTGTTGACATCACCTTTTCCATATACTTTAAAGAGTCCCCAGAGAGATCTACTGCAGAACAAAAACTGGACAGAGAATACATTTGGAAACCATTTTATTTCTCAATTACCAACCAAAACGTATGGAAAAGATTTACACTCTATCTGATTTACACAATAATTATACTTCGAAAGCTTAGAAATAAATGGCTTGATCCCTGAAATCATTAGTTACTATACCAAATGTAATTGGTGTAAACTAATGAGTTTACTGGATGGCTGACCCTTAATTACTGATTATAGTTAAACTCTAGCCAATCAAAAATTCGTTTACTTATAAAAGTACAGTATAGTATTAACAAGCATTACATTTCCAAGCAAGCAGCTTTATGATTAGCTGTAGCACACAACTCAAGCCTGTTCAGGGCTATCAAAAGCAGCTTTTTAATAATAGTGCACTAAGCAACCATCACTCTCTTACCTCAGCGTCTATCAGACAAACAGAAGAAAAACCACATAATTAATCATCTCATGCAATAGAAATAAGGCATCTGGGCCAGATCCAGGCGGGGTATACACAGCTGCCTTAGTCAAGAGAGCTGCAAGAGGCTGGGGATTTGCTTTAAGATAGGATAACTGCCATGGGGAATTCTGGCCCTCTGGAGGGAGCAATCTGTGGTATGGAAGTGAAATATTGATTATGTGCAGTCCTGTGTGATGTGGAGAAACCTACTGAAAAAATAGGTTTAATAATTCCTTGAACTGAGGAGTATTCCTTGGGCAGGTTCAATATGTGGTGATAGGACATTTGGTTACTGTACTGGCAATCCCAAAAATTTGAAAGTCACGATTCCTCACTATTTATTAGATCAAATGAAGAATCATTTTTAAAATAAAATACTAAATGGGAACAAATTATCTTTATTTGTCTGTGGTTGATCTTTAAGAATTAATGTTTTTACCTAACCAGGAAGACTCAACATTTCTATTAAAAAGGTTTAAAGCAGATTTGTATTTAGACCATTTCCAGAATTGGGACTTTAAACAGATACACCAAATATTTTGATAAAATCACAGGACTACAATACTTACAGTCATATCCTTAAAGATACTTCGGTAAGAGACTCCAGTGTTTTAAAGATGCAAAAATTCTCCGTCTCCTAGATTGTTCCTGTGAATCCTAAACTTCAGATAGGAGATTGATACCAGAAGGCACAACCATTAGAAGATGAGGTCTGAGGTCTGATACACAGCTGCTGCTGTGGAGATTTAGTTGGAAGAATATGTATTTGCTGGAGAGTGCTCTTCAGACGACCCAACAGACCTCACGGCTGCCAGGATTCATTCTGTTGGGATTACAGTCTCTCCCATTTCTGCTCTTCTCTATGATGTTCTTTCTCTCTGGGGCTTGCCTTTCATGAGGAGCTACACTCAGCAGAGGACTAACCTTATCTGATGGCTCTTTGGGACAAATGCTGTAACACTTGCCCATTTATTAGTATAAAAATTTTCTTAAAACTCAGAAAATGAAGAATGAATTAGTTCTCAGAATGTCTGCACATGGGTTGAAGTGAAATTTATGCATTTACTGAACTCCTGTTTGAGAGATGTGTCTGAGGTCAAGAAAAGGTTAAAGTTGTTTACTGCCTTCAAGCTCTGGTCTTAGAAGTTAATTCAGAGCTGTGGTGTGAGCAGCTACAGAGAATAAGTCCTTGGAGCAGTGAATTGCTGGTATGATGTCAAGGTCCATGGGCCTTAATAATAAAATTAGTTTGTTTCTTAAGGAAATCCTAGCAGAGACTTTATAGTTATATAAAGTCATTACACTGTTTTTCAACATAACTTTAAGGATGCTTTGGAATGATCAGAGTTTGTGGGAAGGGATCATGTTTTTTATTATTTGTGGAATATCCTCAAGCTGTCATAGCTACAGCACTGCCACTTGGAAAGAAAAGACAAAGGATCTTTTGAAGCCTAAGTCAGGCAAATAGGGCATATCTGTCCAGAGAAAGCTTGTTGAATGGAATGGATCCCATGTACTTCCTGACAATTGATTCCAATTTTGTAGGAGCTAGATATTTGAGGTAATCAAGGTACTTTACTACAATTCTACAAGAGCAGATAAGAGAGCCTATGAAGTTCTACAGGCTCTGCTTTTCACAGTTCTCTGTTGGAGGATTTAGGGGTGAGCAATTTTAAAAGTCATAGGAAAGGAAGAAGGCATACTTTTCAAAACGTCAAGATTCTGTGAATGCAAAGACAGAGGAAACACTGAATGAGACAAAAACTTTCCACCCTCTGCACAGCACTGCTGGTAAGAATAACACTGCATTTCTGCTCTGCTAACGCTGAGGCAACACCCTCCTCCAATGCAGAAGGGAGACAAGGAACCACTGATTCGGGAGGAGGGGAACAGGCTATGGACAGGTTCACTCTCCCCAGCCTGCTGTCCCCGTGGCACAGAGGGAAGTGGGGCTTCTGGAAGAGACTGGTGGTGCAAGCACTGTAGGGCCCCACTTTCCTCCTTTTCTGTGAACTCTGCCTATCTGTTTCTGTGAAAGAAAGCATCAAGCCCCATCTTGTTCATGGAAATACAACATATTTTAAAGCCATAGTTAATGGATAAACTGTTTTCTGATTGGATGAGCCACACAATAAATCTCTTCCCGAGCCAAGTGCAATGCAGCTTATTCAGTTACAGTGAAATAAGCCACTGTCACTTTGCTGCACTTGCATACATCAGGCAAAACGCTTCCATCTTCATCAGCCTTGTAGTGAAATAGAAATAAAACAATTGTAACAGAATGGTGTCACTGGATCTGTGGCACCTGCTTTAAAAATAAATCTCTTAGCTTTGTCTTCACTATTACTTTCAATAAATGTCCTAGCATTGCCACAGCATTTATCTAGCAGCAGGAAACCATTATACTATGACAACAATCTATTCCATTAACATTAGCTCTTAATTGTAAGACTGTTTATAAGACAGCAAAAGCTACTGAATCATAGTAGAATGATAAAAAGAGTTATGGTCATGGAGTACAGGAGTCGCTCCAGTTTTGAAAAACAAGAAGAGTAGAGAGCTATATTTTTGTATGAAAAATAATGTAATATTCTTACGCAATACAATGTTTTCAAATAATGGATTACATCCTCAAGTAACTATTAAAGAGTTAATGTTAAAAACTGTTACTAAGAAACTCTTTGATAAATGGTAGAGCTAAAAAACTGAATAGAAAGCTTAGAAACTCTCCTTCTTGCTTTCAGCAAGGCTGCGTTGATTCAAACAGAGAAATCATCATAACATTTGTCTGGCGGAGAGAGCAGAAGGAATGTTGCAGAATTGAGATACAAAGAACCTCACTGCAGAATAGAAGGAGAACTGTCATTCTGATCGTTTGTCATTATTGTTTCATGTCCAGTTAAGTGAACTTAAAGTGACAGTTGTGTCATAACTCCTGGCATCTATGTAAATTTCAAATCAAATATGATAGAGGCATTTCTGCCAGATGCAAGTCACCAGGCTGCTCTTCCTCTTTATTTTTGTAGCCCTCCATTTTCTTAAACTGTGCTGGTAGCTCTTAAATTAAAAAGACAACTTAAGGGGATCTCTGTTATGTGCATGTTTCAGTTCTCAGTCCATACCTTGCTTTCTCTCAGCTTTTTGAAACAATGGCCAATGTCAAATTTCCATCAGAAAGAGTCACTACAAACATCTAGACGTATTAGCTAAAACTGTGCCTTCCCATTGATGATGTATCATAGAGCAAAACCCCACGAAATTCTAGGTTGTGAACATCCCCTCAAGGCCTACAGAGAAAACAGCTCCAATGTTCCTCCATTGGTTTACTATAGCCCAAGCCAGGTATCGCAAGGGTCTTCTCTGTGCATAGGTATAAAATAGGTGGAAAACATTGCTCGTGGACTTTTCTGTGAATTACGTCATTCAGAGGTTCTGGGAGCTTCACAGGGATATCAGATGTACTCCTCCACAGCAATGAGTTACAGGTAAATAACTCATTTCCTGGATACACTCATACAGATAGTCTAACGACACAGGATTGCTACTGGACACACATCTTTGAAAATAATTTCAATGCAATTATAAATGTATTTTGTGTGGACAACATCATCAAAAATATTAAACGTGCTGTTTATTCACTCAGGCATAATACTAATTTCTTCTGCATATTTAAGGTTATTTGGCTAATTAATTAAATAATACAGGCTTGAGCTAAGTTTTCATTTTTCATTGTAACATATTGCATAAGTGATGGTGCTATAAATATGTACCTCTGCATTAGGTAAGCACATTTCGGTCAGTTGACTGAGGCAGATTTTTATTTTTTCAATTCCTTTCCAGTTGATCTTTTTTGTATGGTAAATTTAAACTAGCTCCACAGCTACTTTTATCTACAATTTGGGCCTTCAAACAACCAAACTGTGCTGTCCCACTCTCTAATCTGACCATTTGTTAAAGTGATTAGTGAATAGAGGCAACATATTAATGACAGTTCTATAAAAGTATCTGTGAATAAACATTTTTTACCTTAAAGGGTAAGTTCTATATGAGTTTATATTTGTAAGTCAAAGGGTTTTTTCCTTGTTAAAGATGAATACATATGAATCATAAAAATATTCAAATTTGTGACAAAATATCACTATACAGATATGTCATCACAAAAATCAATTGTCAGTACATGTTTAAGAGTATCAAATTAATTTTAACTTGTTTGCTTTTAAAATGTCTTGTTTTATTAGATTGTGGAATGTAAAACCCTCTTTCAAAATTGATATAGTATTTCCAATTTTAAGATTTTTTTATGTAGTGAACTTATTATCACATATGCATATTCCTAGAGGCCTCTAGAGATTCTCAATTTGAAACAAAGATGACATAGAATTACAAACTGTGATATCTTTGATTTAGTTGCAGAACTCACTTGCAGGACTTTCTGCTACCTACTGATGTCTTGTGGTCATATATTTATTCTCCCAACAGGAATGTGAACAGGACAAGTTAGTGAATGTAATTTTAGCCATATGAGGTCATTACAAATATAGGCTTAGCTTTTCCAAAAGTGAACTTTATTGTGAATATAAATATATATAATTACTGACATTTATATTATTTGGCTCCTGTCCTTAGTTATGGGTACAGTGATGATAAAAGGGTCTTGCAAGCCCTTACCTAAGCAAACTGTGCTTACCTCCCATGGTTCTGTGTTATTGTACATAAAGTTACTCATGTATTTATAAGTAAGTCAAATCTATACACAGATTTCTAAAAGTGACTTATCTTACTCTTTTGGGCAAACAGTACTGTCTACTGCTTAGAAAAGAATGCTCTAAGCCATCCAGGATTCTTCCCAGCTTCTGAGAGGATGTGATTCTGCTGTATCATTAGATATCCAACTTAAATACTTAATCCAGTCACATTTTTAAATTGTTTGAGGCCTAAACCAGAAGATTCCATGTTGAGTAAAAGTATGCATTACTTTAAAGTAAGAAATGGCTGTTGATTTTTCATCACTGCTTCTGGAGAGGCTGGGGTCAGAGAGTTTGTTTTAAAAGTTTGTTTGTTCAAAAGGGGTAGCTTGCAAGACACGTGGATTAGCAAAGCACCACATGGAAGATTTCAAAGCAGCAGCCTCAACATTTCTCTCTAATGAGAAAAGGAAAAGAGTCCCATAGGTATGAAGTATGCAGGGAGAGAACCCAGAGGTCCCAAAGGAATGCAGTATTTAGGGAGAGAACCAAAACTCCTTTCATGAACAGAGAGATAACCCTGATGAATTCTGGACTACCTGCTATCTTAGGGGCACGTCTAGGTTTAAGAATGATTTGGATCACAGGCTGTAACATTTTCCAGACATTCAGATTGCAACTACTAAGCCAGCAATTTTATGCTTTCCTTTCCCTGACTCCAACAGTACCGCGATATAAGCAGCCAGATTTTCTTCTGCATTGTGTTTTTTATCCATTCAGCCAAAATTAAGTCTTCTAGGGTAACGTATGCCAAGTGAATTTAAATCTTGTGGACTCAAATCGACCTAAAGTTGATGGATACATTCATGCCTACTGCTGAAATCTACCAATTACACAGAACTATGTTAACTTACCATAGAAACATCTCATCTAATAGCACAGATGATGTTGAACTAACTAATTACATTATGGCACATAGACAATGAAAAACATAACGAAGATGACAGCACAGCAACAGCAGATGCTGCACAAAAGAAAAATTAGAAAAATATTGCTCTGCAAAATGCTCTCAGTTAAGGTTTGCTCTGTTAAAATTAATCACAAAAATTAGTGATGATCAGATTTCATAAAAAGATATGAACACTGTAATGCTATTTGGAAGACATCATTAAGCCATTTAAAACTCTGCTGCTTGAGAAGGTAATTCCCATCTTTTGTATCACTATCAGTTTTAAGACTAGTAAACATTTTAGTGCCTATGGCAGAGTTTCTTGGTAGAGTATCTTTTCCAATAAGCAGAGGTCCTAATGGCTCTCCCAGAGTCTGAATTTGGTAGCTTCCAGCCATTACAGGCTTAGATAATTAGACAACTTAGATTTTATTTTAGCTTGGCATTTGCTCTATTCTTGTGCTCTTAGCTGTCACAGAGCTAAAATATCAGTGATTGTTGATTATCTGTAGTATGCCTTGTTACTTTATATATTTTAAATTGTACCAGATCCTACATAAAAAATCTAAAACTGCTGAGTATGTTTAAATGTAATATGTACATGGAGATTACATCCAGATGATATATTTCATAGGCCTATGCTAAAAAAATACATTATTTTTAACCACAACACCGGTCCTCTCCCTGCTTTTCCTCTGGAAGCTTTCCATGAGCTCCCAGTCCGCTTTATGCAGACTCTGAACATACCCCAATCTACAGAGAAAGACAGAAATAGACTTTTCTCCAGCGTTTAAATAATTCCTGTGGTGTCATTCAGATTTCAATATTTTATTTCCTATATATTAAGAAGCAAAACGTATCTACACTATCCTACGTTTTCCCAAATACATTTTTCCGAGGTAGACAGTTTTCCTTTCCGTTTCAGATGGTTTCTGGGCTCACGGCTCGGTGCCCGGGCAGGCCGGGGCTGCAGGGATGCGGGAGGCCCACAGGTGGCGATGTGGTTAAGGCACACCTGGGCTGCGACTCCCGGGCCGGGCGCACCCGGGCTGTCAGCGGGCGAGCTGCATTCCTGTGCCGGGACACTTCCTCGTTAGGAAGTGCTCCCGGGAGGAGTTCCGCGTACCTGTGCGGGGCGCCGCGTCTGCATCAGCCGCCGACAGGAGCAGGTTTAAAACACTTTGTTGCCTCGGACATCGGGTGGACGGACGGGGCTCGTAGCTCAGTCCCGCTCCTATCACCACGGATTTGCCTGACACGGTAGCGAACGTGCCCGGGGGCGGTG